CAGTAAAAGAAAGTAGTTCTTGAGAGTCTTTCATGATATTGATATAATGTTTTTGTCTTYAGGGAGATATATAGCAGAGAGTTAGCCCCAATCACCAACATCATAATCAAATCATTTGTATGTAATAAAAAGAAATATATTTCCCCTTAAAAAATAATAATTTCATATGTTTGAAATGCAATTCAATAGAAGATGAATTTATTTGCAAAGCATTAAGAGTAATTACTAATAGTTGTGCAAYGTCACGAAAATTGAGCACCATTTTTTATTAAACATGAAGGTGCATTTTCAAGTAGAATTATTTCAAGTTTTAGCTAGTTACATGTATGTMCACTTGATTCACTGGAAATTGAAAAGTCTAGTTCTCATTGGTTAAGTAAGCTTTCAGTAGAGTTCAAACTTCCTTAGAGGCATTACTCTATGATTAACTTGCTTAGAAAATTATTTACAAATAAAAATATGCTTGTAGAATACATCTAAAGCAACAACCCAAGAAACAGGCAGTATTTTAGATGTTTAGAGAAGAACATCTTCAGTTGCAACAAGTAATGCACTGACCATTCACATAGAATTCTCTAGCTGCAAATCTGCCAAARGATTAGTGAGAAAGTCATGGATGATTGTATTTTTATACCARAGCTTGTGTAAAAACAAATGCATTCCTGTCTATCAAACTCAGTGATCAAAAATTCAAAAGCAKCATTTCAATAATGTGTCATTTCTTCAAAAAAACACTACTAATTTATGATTATAAGTTGGTGTATCGGAGTATTCAGGGATTTCTCCTAAGCTATTCGGGCTTTTCCCTGAAGTATTTGTGGTTTCCACTACGCTATTAATGTTTGCTGCAAGGCTTTATTGAGGCAATTATTCAGGGTTTTCCCTAAGATATCTTTGGGTTTTCCCCTACAAACATTACAAACAATCGATGCATGTGCTATTTTATTTCTCAAAACTTGCTTCTCAAACCAAAAAAACGTTTATTTTTCATAAAAGATATTAATTTAACATTATTACATTGCTTTAGTAGAATTATTCCTGCTAGGTATTTTAACGTTCCCAAAATTTCCGCATTATTTCCAGATCTTTTCAGCTATATCAAATGCACTTAGCATAGTGTTTACAAAAGATATGAAACCAAGTAGTTTGTTCACGCACACAAGCAATATCCGTAATGTTTTCACATTATGTGAGAAAATAAATAAATTCTTATAAAACTGATTCAGGTGTTTTGTTTAAGCCCTTTCCGTAGAATGAACGCATGAAACCTCCTTTAAAACAAAATCCTGTACTCCCAGTCCAGTCGTCGGTGGTGGTGGTGTTTATGTTGTTGGTGGTGGTGTTTATGTTGTTGTATTCGGTAGTCAAATCGTCACTATACTCTAATTCTTTTTCACGCTTTGACGCTTTTGTTCTAGGAACAAATCTTATTAATGTTCCACACAAGGTTTTTAATTCACCTGGAGTAATTTTTTAAGAACAACTTGAGTTATTACGCTTCATATAAGTTCTTTATGAGATTCTCACCGGTCCTCGAGTACGATAGGATATGATGCAACGCTTTGAGAGCTTGAAAAACTAATAGCAGTTTTAATAGCGCAAAGAACTTGTGCTTCTTGAACACACATGACGGGCGTCACGAATCATACTCCTGGYTATTCATATTAAAAGATCTCGACTTGTTGACTCATGGTTTTGGTTAGAAGTAAAAAACGAATTTATTACTAAATGATAAAACAACGACAGCCATGTTGAATATTTGGAAAATTTTCGTTCCATGCAATAGGCCGTTTGCATTATGACGTAACTTTACTACAATTATCAGAGAGCCTTGCACATTTTCATTGTTATTCAGATTTTTAATCACCTTGGAGATTAATAAAGCAATTAGCACTAATTGCATTACAAAAGAAAGTTGGCAAAGCATTCTGGTAGTTGTAGTAAATGACGCCATAATGCATATCGCCTATTGAAAAAAAAGAGTAACTAATTTTGTGACAATCGCTCGTCTGGGAGCAAAACACTGCCGATAATTCAGAATTTCCGTGATACCGTAAATTGTTATGAAATGTCATTTCCTTGAGAAGTACAACCGAACGGAATAAATACTGAAGAACACAACACCCCTACTGTTCTGCCACTAAAAGACAGTCCAGGTGGTCTTTAGACTGTGTTACAGTTCACCTGACGCAACTCTCAGTGGCACTTCGACGCATTTTCACATGATTTAAAAAAAACACGATATCGGGCTTCAAAAAGTGACATCATGGAAAGTACAAGGAGAAAATTTTAGCAGTAATATTTTACCTTAAACGCAGTTTAATATGGTAAAGACAGACAGTGTTTGTCAATCTACCGGGTTTTTTGAGCTTTTTTAAACCCGACAATGTTTTGTTTATGTTAAGATGGATGACGCCGAAATCATAAATTTAACATAATAATTTAATTTAATAGACTGTGTTACAGTTTACCTTGTATTTGACGCAATATCTCAGTGGTCATTTCGACGCATTTTCACCTGATTAAAAAAAACATCAGGTTTCAAAAAGTGACATCATTGAAAGTACGACCAAAAAGGATCCTGGGAAAAATTTTTAGCAGTAATATTTACCTTGAGCGTAGTTAAATWAGAAAAAGGCAGACAGTGAAACAATAAATCTACCTTCCCGTTTGTAGCTCTTTCGGTCTTTGTTTTGATGATGTAAGCTTTTTTGAACTCGACAAAATTTTGTTTATAATAAGATATATGACGCCGACATCATAAATTTAACGCCGTCAATGCCGAATATACAAGACAAGCTACTCAAATCTGTTGTTTCTGATTATCATTTGCTGACATTTTGAGGTCATATTTATTTATATTAATTCCTTGTTTGAAACTAATTAAAATATGATGCCTCAATCAATGGAAACCACGGCCCCCGGGCAATACCGGGGAAATGAAACTCGAATTTCGAATTCGAATCTCGAATTTCCCAACCCTTAGAGGCCATAAAGTCTGTAAAACGGATAATTTCCTTTAATTTAGACGTAAATTGACCTGTCTGTTTACTGTGCTGTTAAAACGCCGTTAAATCTTCGGCTATAATGTGTTAATTCCCCGGCCCTCCCCGGGGTTTGGTGGGAAAGGGTTTTAATGTTCAGATTTTCAATATTTCTTTTCGGGTCCTTCAAGAACTAGCAAGTTTAAAGCGGTGAAGTTGTTGTAGATTTAATCGATTAAGCACTCAGGGCACCGGACGAGTTGGTCTTTCAAATTAAAGCTTTGAAGACAACGCTGAGAATTGCCATTCGTTGCTCTTCATCCTTCATCAATTAACATAGGAAGTGGAGAGATAAACACGAGAGCATACTTTATCATTTCAATATAACAATACGAAACATTTCCTCTCCGTTGGGAAAACTTCCCACAAAATACTAGTAATTGATAAACTTCAAGTGCAATAAAAGAAACTGTCATAAGAAGCAGTTGATGAACCCCGGAGGTTTCATTTAATTCTGTGTCTAAACGAGGCAAGAACAACCGTGGTTCAGGCCATTTTACCATTTGTGACCGTAGTTGCGCTTCACAGGTTTTTCTTCTAATTTCCTCTTTTTGGATACTTCCTGAAATCGTTACAAAACCATTGCGAACTTTCATTATGTGCGCAATAATGTAATGGAAAACTGAAGTTGTTTCCTGAAAAGTTCAGCGAAAACCTCGAAACGCCGTTTAAACTGCTTAGTTTCACCAATTTGACGAACATAGTGCGCCTTAGACGCCGGAACGAAACCGTTTCAGTAGTTCACCAACTTATTAACAAGTCTTGCACAGTAGAAGTTAGCGAAACCCGATTCAATTTTGTGCGTGGCTACTGTCTTCTGCAGTTCAAACGATCAAAAAAGCCAACGGTTGATCAGCTTGACATGACAAACAAGATGAACAACGACCTTCACATGGAAAAACTAGCATACGAACTGAAGCACAGACCAKTGGGACTAGTCATTTTAGAAACAAGTGTACTTCTCCTTATTGCTCTKGCAGCGCTTGTGGCAAATGTCTGTGTATTGTACGTGTTCTACAAGAAGCCGCGACTTCGTACCGTTACGAGTTTTTACCTTATTGCACTCGCTATCTCTGATATAGTTATGTCACTGGTAGTCATGCCCGTTACCATAACTGCAGCTGCATGTGGRCGCGACGTTGTTGGTCGAAAAGCTGGCGAAGTTATTCACTGGGTAAACTTTGAGCTTTTACTTAACACTATGGCCATATCGATGTTGATTGCAATTAATCGATATTTCTGCGTCAACAAACCGTCTAAATACAGGAAATACTTCAAGCCAAAATTCGTTAAATTGACGCTGGTGATGTGTGGCCTGATGTTYCTTCCATTCGTAATAATAGCTCAAACAGCGGAGAAACCCATTTACAAATTTCACTCAGGTTGGCTTGTGTATGTGCCATGGTCGCCTAATGAAAACACCAACATAATTTTCAACATATCTATTGAGATTGTTATGATTTTCATTCCCATAACATTGTCAATTTATTGTTACTGGAAAGTCTATAAGCGCATGACAAATCATGTTGCCGCCGTTGCACCGTCACTAAGCGGTGATAATAACTCTATTATAAACAGAGAGGAAGTTGGACTTACACGTTCTTTGACCGCTTTGGTCGCTGGATCCGCTGTAATACTGATTCCTAGCTCTATATTGTACCATTTGGATTACTATGTGGATTTACCGAGGTGGACTGGTTTGATGTATACYGTGATTRTGTTTATGCTCAGCGTCGTAAGCCCTGTAGTATACAACGCCTTTAATAAAACTTTTCGAAGGGAGTTCGCAAAACTATTTGTATGTTTAAAGCTGCGTCAAGGAGGCAATAATCTACATCGTCCAGTCACTAAAATGACTGGACTCAGCGTCGTCAAMAGTGTTTCTCAGATAAATCATACTGTTTTACAGTGAAATATTGTGCACAGACTGTGATTGAGGTAGAAAATGACAATCGATAGGAATTGTGGGAACCCTCTGAGTCTGCATTGCATTATGGGAGCTAACTGACTTTKAAATGCATTGTGGGAGGTCACTAAACTTGCATTGCATTGTTTGAGCTCACAGAATTTACGTTTCTAAGTATTTTTTGCTACATATTTCAATTGCTTCTGACAGATGAAAGATCTCTTTTCACTGCATTTCTTTTTCATCCATTTTCCAAGTTTTCCCATAGCAACGCAGACTGAACCGTTTGTTCCTGGCACAGCCAGCGGTATGTAATGGTCAGCTGACGAACCATCAGACCATTCAAACGTTTTTTGGATTGTCATTGTGCTTAAACCCAACCATAGWCCAGGCTCTTCATAATCTATGATTGAAGAGATACGGATGTACTTGAGTTCTTTGTATGAAATGGTTCAATAAATTCTCAGTTTTACATCGGGATCCCTGTAGTAATTAGACTGCGAGGAGAATAGTACTCTACATACTTACTCATTGCATCGTTGATTTCAGCAATGCTTAAYGCACTGTCAAACACCATCAAGTCTTTCATGTATCCATGGTAATTTAAAGGTTTATTTCTCACATYTTTYAATGTGACGCCTAACTGGTAGTAAGGGCGTGTCTGTAAGGGGTAAGGAGTTTTAGAGTATGACCTGCTGAAGAATTYAGACCCGTTGACTACCAGGCTAAGTTTTAACTGTCCATCTTCAAAACTCGTGGTAGCAGCAACGTGACTCCAGACACCAGGGGAAATAACATTACTAGAAAAAACATGAATATACATATCAGATTGGTGGGAGCTGAAAATACATGAATAATAGCGAAGATTTTCTATGGTGATTTCCGCTACAAAATTTGAATTACTCTTTAAATACAACAAAATGTGCTTCGTTTTTCAATGTTTTTCGCATATTAAGATTTGATCATGGTTTGGTACCCCCTTGCCTCTTCACATAGTTTCTTATTAGCGAATTGATGGATGAAACAATGGAATTCAAGATGGCGGCCATAGGGGCAATCGATCGATACGGGGATGTAGCGAGGTCCTCAACTAATTTAACTTTTCTTACCTTGGTGTTGCATGCATGAAAGCCTTGCCATTGATATCATACAGTCGAAATCCTAAAAAGTGAGGGCTGCTGGGATGGCTATCTTGTAATATATAAAATAATTTGAACGATTTGTTGACGTTTGTTTGCATATCTGTGAATATCGTGAATTTTCGCATTTCATCTGGTGACAGTTGAACTGGATGCGGCTTTACCCACAACATCATGGTATACCCTCTTGCATTGAATGGTAGAGTAGCGGGTACGTTAGCGTAGCTGTATTGTCCTGTTAGATACAATGCTGTCACTCCATCGACCTCTTCGTATCGAGGCAGTTCAGAAGGGTTCGACTTGGGCTCTAGACTTTGCACACAAGACAATAGACTACAGTTAGTATTATCAATTGAACTTAATCTTTCCTTTTTGGCTTTATTTGTGTAGAAGGCGCACTTAGCCCGTGAAACGAATAACACTATTTGGTATCGATGGCCCGTGAAATAATAAATCCAAGATGTCTTTTTACCTGATTTCCTTCTCAGAACCATCTAATGACCAATGTACACGAGCAGACGTAGGATTAAAAGTATGCACTATTAATAAGAAAGATTAAACTAAGACTAAAGTAGTTTACGATTTTTCTTGTTTCAATCTGATAAACAAAGCATTCAGCCAACCTTTTGCCRAGACGTCGTTGATAAAATCGTTCTCATAAGAGCTGGAAATCGAYACTAGATTGCCGCCAATCGATTTGCAGTGATCTTCTGCCTCACTCCAGTTTTTCTTCACTTGGAAGAGCTTTAAAGCAATCGAACCAAGACGAAACCAACCATCTTGCAGAACTTTTTGATATCGAACAAATGAGAGAATTATGATTGATCGATTGATCGATCGATCGATTGATTGATTGATTGATTGATTGATTGATTGATTGATTGATTGATTGATCGATTGATAAATTGATTGACTTACCGTCTTTCATTTTATTTATGCACGATTTGCAGTTTCCTTGTGCTTCCTGTGATCATTAAACAATTAATGTGATTTAGTGTACATTTTCTACCTAAATCTTTCCAAATTGAGTAACCATACTTTTAGAAACGGTTGTAGCTCACCGTCATCTCATGATAGTCAGATCCTACCCTAGGCACCAGTCCCCCARCAGCTGTCTTGGTCGAGTTGTTCARGYCACATTCAAAGAGAATGCCCTGRACACGAACATTAATAGAAAAACATGATGGTAACCACGCACACTCACTCCAGCACAATGCAACTACACTGCGCATGACGGTCTTGATCACGTGATTGACTAGTTCCATGCCCTTTGTCTTTTCAAATTTGTACGTCTCACAGGATCCCGCGATGGCCTGGTGAGCAGCCATAGTTAAAACTATTATTGTTGCGACAATGGCAGGCCTTTTGTTCATCTCTCCTTAGAGGTTTCGCAGCTCTAAATAAAAGTTATTGTGATTGGCAAGCTAGAACAATAGGTTCTATTGTTTGTGCCTCGTTCTTCGTGAATAGACTTCTGCATGAACCTTTTACGTCACTACTTGATTTTCAATGCATTGTGGGATCAGTTTCTAGAGAAAACAAAAGAAATCTGCCATGTTCTGTACCAAACATATCCTACAATGCATTGCGTATACGGTMCATGACGTAAAAGCTTCAGAGGACTATTACCAGCAAAGTTATGCTCCTTAGAATATAGAGTCATAACACTTGCACCGTGAAATATGATCAAAATAAACAGTAAATATTAGAGTCTATTTATTGACTAATAGTAGATATTACTGAACCAGAACACAGTTCATGAAAACAAAAGGCAATACACAAGAGACTTGACAACTGCCATCTTTATTTCATTTACAATCAAGACAAAAGACACATCTAGATCTAAAATAATCACACAATACACTAGGGAGCTCGTTTAACGAATCTTTATTTATTTGCGCTGCCGTAAAATCAAGACAAAAGACACATCTAAAGCTAAAATAACCACACAATACGCAAGGAAACGCGTTTAACGAATCTTTATTTATTTGTGCTGCTGTAGAATAGTTAAAATCAAGACACAAGACAAATCTAAAGCTAAAATAACCACACAAGACTAAATGAAACGCGTTTGGAATCTTTATTCTCTGCGCCGCAGCAAAATTATGACAGAAGACATTGTAAGGCTAAATTGAAAAAACTGTAATATCAAACCCACTACGCAAATGAACGTGTTTTCTAACGAGTTTATTATAAGAGCCTGAACTAAAAATCAAGACAAGACGCACTGAAATGACCCGCAAAAATATATAAACAACGTGGTTTCGAACGAATTCTATCGCTCAAAGCTGAGTTATTTGACTAGTCAATATAAAAAAGCGACTTGACAACAACCAGCGGCAACGTTTTAAACTTATCCTTTGCTTGAAGCTCAAAATAAAACACAAGAAATTTTATTAATCATTTCGGAAATGTGTTTGTGAGATACGTACCTTTTGAGCATGGGGCATTAGTTACCAAATCATTATTTCCAGCAGCACTCGTAACAGTTATAAAAGTTAGTTACTATAGCTATCTATTTCACTTTCACCCTATAATCAACAATATAGGGCAATTCTTTTTATGGCCTTTCAATAAACTCGAGTTCCATGAAGGATGAAGACTATATTTAACACAAGCTCTAGCCCTTCCCGACATCTTTCCTCTGGGTTTAACAAAGAACAAAACTAGCTCTTTATTTCTTTCCTTGTGGGTGGGACATTTTTTAACAAATTCCTCCTTCTTCATTAGGTAGCTTTTAATAAAGTTGTTTGGCTTCCAAGTCTCTTGTGTATTACCTTTTGTTTTTAAGAATTGTTTTGGTTCAGTGATATCTACTGTTAGATACAAATAGTCAGTAAATAAAAACTAATAGTTACTACTTCTTTGATTTTGTTTCACGGTGCAAGTGTGATGACTCTA